ACGTGCTTACGTCATCATACGTGCTAACGTCATCATACGTAAGCACGTTTCATCCAACAATATCATTTATCGCCACCTAGTGGAATCTTCTTCTTGGTTCTTTCGGTAAAGTCACGTAGAAGGGAAGTAATAAAATAATAAAAATAAAACTAAATAAAATTATTCTCACGACGTTTCGGCCACAACGCAAGTTATTCTCACGACGTTTCGGCCACAACGTTCCACTCACTGGCATGGTGCAGTGTGCAGAGTAATGTATGGTGTCGTAATTGTATAGTAAATATATAGCAGTGTGATACACATTAGGGTGGGTAGAATAATACATAGTGTTATATTAAAATGGATAAGGCAGCAAATGCAGCAGCAGCAGCAACTGCAGCAGCAGCAGCAACTGCAGCAGCAGCAGCAACTGCAGCAGCAGCAACTGCAGCAGCAGCAGCAACTGCAGCAGCAGCAGCAGCAACTGCAGCTCCCTTTGATGCTGTTCATCCTGCATAATGCACATGCATATGTAGTACTAATCACATTCCTGCATTTCCCATAAATATGCTAAATTCCTCTTGATATGCAAATTCCTTTGTCAAGGCGCCCAGCTTATATATATGCTCCAAGCTCGTGTGCTGTTTCATTCAGACTCTGTCGCCTCGACGGACCTGGTTTTCACCTGAGGACGGCTGCTTGCGTTGTGGCCGAAACGTCGTGAGAATAATTTTATTATGTTTTATTTTTATTATTTTATTACTTCCCTTCTACGTGACTTTACCGAAAGAACCAAGAAGATGAATCCCTGCAGTCACGAAAGTTTTAAATCAAAATCTAGTGGAATCTTTAATAAAATAAACTTGAGTGGTTTGTTTTAATAGTGAGTATAGAAACAAACAAGATGTATTGTAAGAGTCACTTTATTTTTCATTAATATTAAAGAAGTGAAGTTGCCTTTACATGCTTAAGCTGTTAATTTATCCATTGCATGGGTGGACCTTATCCTTATCAATCATCCAGACATTTGCCCCCCCTGAGAGATTTTGCAGGAGCCGCCACTGGTCAGACTACACAATCCGTAAAGCTATCACACCAACTGTTGGGAAAGAACCATTTGAGGACCCAATCAAAACCATCACCCTGTCATACATAGCAGGGGTCACCAAAAATATTTAAAAAATCATGAGCAAACACAAGATCCAGGTTCGATTGAACACAGTACATAAAATGCGAGATCTGATCCCATCTGTGAAGGATGTAATACCGGCGTCTACAAACTAAACTGTGTCTGCTGCAGTAGTTACATTGGGGAAACTAAGCGACATGTCTTGGACCATGTTCGTGAACTGAAACACGGGAGGACCAATACCTCAGCCGTGGCTGATCATTGTTTTAATGCGGTTGGCTCACACGAAATACATTTCTCTAAGACGAAGGTACTTTGCAAACCCACTGGTTATCAACAAAGATTTGTTCATGAAGCCATCCATATATAAAGACATAGACACAATTTCAAGGGTCACTACTGACGATGCGCTCCCCAAATTTCACCAGGCTCACTGTTCATGAACTCTTGGACGTGCTTGCACAAAGGATAGTAACATCTCATCCTGTGTTCTTTGGAATCGGAATCAACCGAGACGATGGGTACAAACTTAGCAATCACTGGAAGGACGTTATTAACCAATTTAAGTAATAACTGGCTGTAATGTTTCCATTTTAGACCTGGCAGCCCTTTAATTGGTGGAAGCCCACTACCAGGACCATCACTATCCACCACTACCATCACCTCTTGCAGAAACTTCCCTTACATTAACATTAGCTACCCCGCCCATGCTGCTGACACTTGGGCTACGCCCATTTACGGTTTGCCTTTAGAGCCTACCCCCCTTTTCCTGATGATGACCGCTTGTGTTGCGATTGAAAAGTTTGAGTTTTTTGTAATTTTCTTTGAACCTATCTACGTGACTTTACTGAAAGACCCAAATAATATAGGTAGATACTACTATAAAGTCGGGAGAAACTACTGTAGAGTCGGTAGATACTACTACAGTCATTAGACACTACTGTAGAGTAAATAAATACTACTGTAGAGTCAGTGGATACTACTGTAGAGTTAGTAGATACTATTGTATAGTCGGTAGATACTACTGTAGACTCAGTAGATACGAATATAGAGTCAATAGATACTACTGCAGAGTCGGTAGTTCCTACTGTAGTGACGTCGTTGGATGTCACGGTGTGAAGCCGGCCTGGGAGAGGCACGGCACGCGATGTATTGACATTGCGGACACCATTGAAGGTGGATGCAGTACCGTCCCAAGCGGGGCTCGGGGAGCACTGACCGACAACATTGGATAGCACCATGCTCGGCACGCAGTGCCAGCCCCTACAGGATAGGGTGCGAGGGTGACGGCGACGGAACGGGGTTGCAAGGGGCCATGGCACTCTGGTTGACCCCGGACGCCCAGAGGACACGTGACCGGTTGTGTCTACCCGGGGACCCCCAAAGGGAGGATGGGGGACCACGTGTCTAGTTGGAAATCCTCCTCGAGGATTCGAGAAGGTGGTCGTGCCTTGGGGCAGAGCGAGCCCCACCACACAGGATATAAGCTGGGCCCCCAGTGGGACCGGGGGCGGTTGTTAACCTGAAGAGTCTACGTTCTACGTTCGACGTCGGAGAAGAGTCACCAACACGTGGACTGGGACCCGACCTGGGGTCCGGTCCATTGTAGCCAGTTCTGGTGTAATTAGTGTAGATAACCTGGTGGATCACCATCCTAGGATGTTATCTGGTAAAGGGGCAGTTACCCCTTTGTGTTAGTGTGTTGGTGTTAATAAATGTGTTGCCTCCAAGAGTACGTCTGAGTCTCCGTTTGAGCCCACTACACTACTGCAGAGTCGGCAGTTACTACTGTCAAGTCGGTAGATACTACTGTAGAGTCGATAGCTACTACTGTAGATGCAATAGATATTACTGTAGAGTCAGTAGATACTATTGTAGAGTTGGTAGGATACTACTACAGTCAATAGATACTACTGTAGACTCAGTAGATACTACTATAGAGTCAATAGATACTCCTGTAGGGACGGTAGATACTACTGTAGAGTCGGTAGATACTACTGTAGAGTCGGTAGACACTACTGTGGAGTCAATATATATTACTGTAGAGTCGGTAGATACTATTGTAGAGTCGGTAGGATACTACTACAGTCAGTAGATACTAGTGTAGACTCAGTAGATAATACTATAGAGTCAATATATACTACTGTAGGGACGGTAGATACTACTGTAGAGTCGGTAGGTATTACTGCAGTCAGTAGATACTACTGCAGACTCAGTAGATACTACTATGGAGTCAATAGATACTACTGTAGAGTCAGTAGTTACAACTGCAGAGTCGGTATATTACTATAGTATAATCGGTAGATACTACTGTACAGTCGGTTGATACTACTACAGAGTCAGTAGATACTACTATAGGGGTAAGTAGATACTAGATACTACTACACTCAGTAGATACCACTACAGTTAGTAGATACTACTACTACTACCACGGTCAGTAGATGCTGTCAGCTATGGCTGCAAAGTTTGGTCGTACATGTTATGTATATCGTTTATTATTTAAATTTGAATAACAGTTCCTATGAACACTGTTACATTGTTTTAATAGCTTTATTTTGTTGATTTCGAAAGCGTTTTGGTTTAGCCATATTTGTTTGTTGTAGTACAGAGTTAGACTGATAACTTTAATTTAAATTGTCTTATGGTTGTTATTGTTTGACTTGCATCCCACTGGGATTTTTGCGCACAGCGTTGATATACGGTACTTTTTCTGGAAGACTTTTTTTTCCTGGATTTTTATGTTGCGAGTAGTCACTTTAAGATGTTTCTTGTTCATGTTTTTGTTTGTTGCGGTTGCACCCGATTCAAGAGCTGCATGGCTCACAGGGATATACCTAATAAAACTGAAACTGAGATACTACTACAGTCAATATATACTACTATACAGTCAGTAGCTACTACTATAGTCAGTAGAAACTACTGTAGAGTCAGTAGATACTACTGTAGAGTCCGTAGATACTACTGTAGACTCACTAGTTACTACTATAGAATCACTAGATGCTACTTTCGAGTCAGTAGATACTACTACTGTCAGTATATACTACTACGGTCAGTATATGCTACTATATAGTCAGTGGATACTACTATAGTCAGATACTACTGTAGAGTCAGTGGATACAACCATAGAGTCAGTAGATACTACTGTAGAGCCAGATACTATTTTAGAGGCAATAGATACTACTGTATAGTCACTAGATACTACTTTCGAATCACTAGATGCTATTTTAGAGTCAGTAGGTACTACCATAGAGTCACTAGATACTACTGACTATTGTATGTAGGGTGGGTAGGTATCTATGCCTCCAAAATAAAAAATGGCTGGGGGGGGGGGTAAAAAGATTTTTGGAGGGGGGAGTCGACATTTTTTGGAAACCTTTTAGATCAACTATGTACCCCCACTTTCTATTACTTTTTTATTCAGGACTTCTGCAGGTCTCTTATAATTTTGTTGACGGGAAAATGGACAGACAAACGGAACGCCGGGCTTTCACAATAGCTTAGTATTTGTGTATGTATATGTTATGTTTTTAAGAGAAGACAAGTTTTTAAATATAGTTTCCCCCCGGGCAACGCCAGGTACTTCCTGCTAGTAGTTTATATGTTTATGTTTAAAGGTAATATGTTTATGCTCTTAACCCTGTTTTCCTCATAAGCTTTAAGTATTAATATTCACTGATTTAGTATTTGCGCCATTCCCCAGGAACGAAACCCCACGAACATTAAGGGTTTACTGTATATACAACTTTCCCAGCTGATCTGAAATTGGTAAGCTCTCCCAAAGCCATAAATTACTAATACAACAATGACTAATGCAGTGGGGTCTTCAATTATGCGCCAGTATTGATCACTTTCCAAGTTTATATTTGAATTGTGCGTGTGTTATTTTTTACAGATTTGACTTCACTGTCGTCAAGCCATTGATAAACATTCTGAACATGCTGAGTGTGGAGCACACCGAGAAGGAGAAAGTGGACGTTAAGGAGGCCTTTCTGCGGCAGGGAGGTGCAGGTGTGTAGACAGCGTCCGCTGTGTGGGAGCGTTACTGAGACAGCTCTGCAGGGACGTGCACCGTCCTCAAGAGTTTATCTGGAATATCGCCCCCAGCTCTCACTTCAGCTGTCGCTTCATTTATTGCTTCATCTATCGCTTCATAAATCGCTTTATCTATCGCTTTATCTATCACGTCATCTATCGCTTCATCAGTTCATGAGGACATGTTATTTCTCATGCTCGCAAAATATGCGTAAAATATTTTAAACATAGTATGTAAATGACATGCAAATTATATACTAAACTGCCTTTCGACTTATACAACAAGTTAAGCAAAACAAGGAAAATAAAACAAGATTGTAATAATTAGACAGTTCGATTATTGGATCACATTATGACCCTGACATTCCACGGAAATTAATTTCTACATACCTTCTGTATATTATACTCGTTCATACAAACACATTCAGTTATCGTTGCTGCTGTGCGCCTGTAATACGAGCATGTTGCAGTGTTCACCGCCTTACAAGAGCCACATGTGCTTCCTAGAGCTGCTCAAGAAGATCCAGGACACTCCCACCCAAGATGACTCTGAGATCCCTCTCCAAATCGTCACTGAGATCATGTTCCAAATGCTGATGACTTACACTGTGGACGTTAGTGAGTACCTGTGCTACGACTACACATTATGTACTCTGCTAAGTGGATCTGCACAAACACGGCCTTCATTCGACAGGGCAGCTCACCAGTCGTGTTACCATGAGTTCTGGTAATGTCATTTTTGGCAGTGCCAATGATGATTCATTATAACAGACCAATCAGTCTTGTATCAAACTATGCTAGACTACATAATTATGATTATTTAATGTAGTTTTTCATGTTGTTTATTTTTCCTCACCAACAAGACTTGCACATCTGCACTTACTTACCTCATACTTATATTTTAACCTAAAAATATCCAAAGTTATGATTTATAAATCTCGTTCGCACATGTCCGTCCATCTGTCTGGCATACAACTGAAAAAAAAATCTCTTGCCGAGGACATTCCCTGGAAATTGTGTAAAAGTTGTGTGAATATACATAAGAAATATATACAATTTTGCTATCTTTGAATTAACTTGCTGAGACAGAAAAACAAGTTTAATATTTTGTGGTTGTGATTATAATGTGTTGATTATTGTCGTTATAATGGTTGTGGTTATGGTTGCAGTTATGAAGTGATTATGGGTGTGGTTGTAATGTGGTTGTGGTTATAATAGGGTTATGGTTTGGTTATGTTGGGTTGTGGTTTGTGCCTATTGTGGTTATAATGTGGTAGTTATGGTTGTGGTTTTAATGTGTTATGGTTGTAGGTATATTGTGGGTGTGTCATGGCTTTGATTTTGGTTATTTTGTGGTTTTGTGAATATAATGTGGATCTGTTTATAATGTGCCTGTCGTGGTTAAATTGTGGTTGTGATTATATTCTGGCTGTTGTAATGTTGCGGTTATGCTTGTGGTTATGATTGCGATAAGAATGTGCGGGGAGCAGTAGTGTAGCGGTTAGCATGCTGCGCTTTAAACCTGACCACCTGAGTTCGATTCCCACTTATGATCAAACACCAATGATGATTATCTTAAATTAGTCCTGGGCCTCTTCTAGGTCGACTCAGCCTCAAATACGTACCTGGTGCTATGTGTAAGCATGGCCACTATGGAGAAAGAGGTAGCAGGGCGTGGTGCTGGTCATCTCACTCCCTCGTGTGCCTTCATGACCTTCACAGGCGCTCGCTACCTGCACTTGCCCCAACAGTCTGTGTGGGCTTAAAACGGGAAATCCTTGTTTTTGTCTTGGGTTAGAATGTTGTTTGTGGTTTTCATGCAGATGTTGATATGGTTGTGCTTATACTGCGACTGTTATAGTTGTTTTAGTTTTAATGTGGCTATTATGATTGTGGTTGTAGTTGCAGTTATTAAGATTGTGGTTATATTGTGGATATTATTGTGTAAAATAGATTAATAGCTGGTGCTAAGAATTAGATTTGTGGTGTTGATAGTGACATTAATATTGTTGTTGATAGGTAATTGTTGATGTTGATATATTGTTGATCTTGATATGAACAATAATCGTATTGTTGTTGATGTTCATACGTCATTATTGTTGATATTATTGGTTTTTGGTATGTCAAATCATTGTTTGTGTTGATGTTGTAATGTTTTATTATTGTTCATGATGGTGTACTTTATATGAAATGCAACATTAGCACTTCATCTTATTTCACTTGACAGCTACATCATCAAGATGTCGCATGTGTCACTATGCACGGAATATATATAAGTTCTCTTATAAAATAACATGACTCCATGGGATGTTATTTTCTTCATAATTGAACTTTGCCGTCTGTGCTGGTGGTTAAACATGACAGTGTGTGTTTCGTTTATCACAGGTGCAAAACTAGAGAAAGAGATTGAAGACATTTACACAGATTTAATTCCGCTGATGACTTTTGCCAGGTGAGGAGTCGACCACCTCAGGGTTCGTCACAGACATCGAGGGATGCCGGCAGGGTCTGGCTTGGCATCAGGCAGACACACAGATTGAACACCCCACATGACTCACGGAAAAAATGTACAACAGCTGTATGGGTCTAAAATAGTTTTTGCTTCATTGTGGTGAACCCCAGGGCATCACTATCCGTTGGAATCATGTGACTTATGACATCCATAATTTACAAATGTGCTCAGTGATCCAAATCTAGAGCTTGTCAGCACAAATTCAGATTCTTCCATCGTCTTTCCAATTTGGATGCAACTGAGACCTTGTAACTAGTAATGAGATCGCTTATTCCTTTTGAAGGAAGCAGCATTAGATGTGTGCCCATGGGAGGTGTGTAATAATAATAATAATAGTTCAATTTGTAACGCGCGCAAATTTGCAGACGTATTGGCCGCAACTCAGAGGCGCGGAGCCAAGCTCAGAGTCGCTCAAAAGCATGATTGTAGAGGTAAGTGTAGGCAGGCGACATCCTGTGCATGGTGCACACGACTCCTGCAGCTCTAAACTGAGAGAGCCTGAGTGGCAATCCGCAGCACGCTGTGTGCATCAATAGGTGCAAGTTTAATTGTTGCTTCATTTAGTCATTGACTATGCTTCTTAGAATGCACGCCTAAAGCAGTCGTTTCATGTAAACTTGAGCTAATGCGCAAATCATCTCCAAGAGAGGAATTGCAACACATTCTATTTAACATGAATCATTTTCATTCGCTTTGGCATTTACAGTATTGATTTAAACCAACATGTATTGTTCATATGTGTTAATGGGAATGGTCATGTGTGTCAGGCAGAATAAGCTATTTGGAATCATCATGGTGGTAATAACATTGTGGGGTGGCATTTATTTACAGCTTTGACCATTCTACGGTAAAGGCCCTGCAAACTATATGGAACAAGTTGAATGCCGTCCTTTCAGTGGAGAAGAGACTTCTTGCCAAAGCGGCTTTTCTTCGTGCAGGGGGACCAGGTGTGTACCAATATTTCTCATATTTACCAATTTGTCAAATTAGACGTTTTAGAAAGACAGCTCCTAGACTGGAATCAACTTAAAAGGGTCTCTCCAGCAGGGCGTGGCACGTACAGCAAGCATACTGATGGGTAGTTAACTGTTACAGAAAAGCCATCCACAAACCATTCCAGGAATGCATCCAGCCTCTGTAGAATTATTTTTGTTTATCAATATTTTTCTAGATTTCATTGCAGCCAAACGTCAGGCCCCAGTGTATCTGTTGATGCCTCTGGCATCATGTGACAGCCATGCCTTGAAAACCAGTTCACTAAGCTGCTCAAGTAAATTAGTACAGGATGCCCATTGGTTGTTTAATCACCCTAACCCCTTTCTATTTGGTGTTGTTATACTTAACTCGCCAGTGCAATGCTTAGCTCTTTCGAGCACTTAGACGTTTCCTCAGGGGAATTCAATATACAATTCACGTTTTACACTTACAAATATCTACATTAAATGTAAGTATATCAAGTGTAGAATTACTAAACGAGATGTTTTATCTTAATACTTAAATTGGTGTAGGCAACACGACGATTAATACTCTATTTTTGAATTAGGCCATATAATGATCTGAACAAATGTGTTGGGTGGTGGAGGGTTATGACACATTTATAAATAACGCGATCTGCCCCAAAAATCTATATTATGAAATGTGTGTTGTTAAGACACATCACCTCCTAACACAGCCAAAGGAATTGCATTGTCACGTGTATAAGCTTTAAGGTCTCAATTATTATTGTTACAACTCACTGGTGAATTGACCAACAATCCTCACAACCAAATTTAGCAATTAGATACAATGTTTCATTTGAAACTGCTTCAAACATCAACTTGACGATGCAGGAAGTCAAGATAACAATCCAGGAAGTCATAATTTCTCACTTTAAGATCATGCTTATCCCTCACATTAACATAGCCACTTCCGTGCCCTTGTTTAGGAGGCCGCTCTTCTGTCTTACAGTTACATGCTAATTTCTCACATTAACATCACTAGCCACAGCCACTTCTTTATAACCCTTGAGCTACACCCAATTCAAATCTTTTAAAACAGTCTTCCTCTGCAGCAGACTTTGCTTTCCCACCTGATGACGGACGCTTGTGTTGCGCCCGAAACGTCGTGATTTATTTTATTTTATACCTACGTGATTTTACCGAAAGAACAATAGAGTATGGATTCCTGCAGTCACGAAAGCTTCCAATCAAGCCATAACACTTATTGAAGAAACCAGATGAGGTGGCACAGTTACTCTTAACTCCCTGGATTGGTGTGTTACTTCCTGGATCTTGTCTTGATGATGTTGGACATAGTTTAAAATAAAATATCATATCGAATCGCTAAATTTGGTTGGAAGTATTTTTTTTCAACTTATCGGTGAGTTGAAACAATTATGATTTATGTGTTAAACACTTGTACAAGTGATGAGTAATTTATTTGGCAGTATCAGGTGATGGACGGTTCATATAACAGATTTGGTCACATCATTGTGGCCTAACCCAAAAATGTTATAATGGCAATTAGATATTTTATCCTTTACCAAGAGCACCTTGCATAACCACGCTCTATTCCCATTTTCAGAACTGTTCAAGGAAATGCAAAAGTGCCTACAAAGTGACGCTGTGGAAAACGGACTTTTGGAAGTGATGATGGACATTTATACACTGATGATGGATTTTACTTTCACATCGAGTAAGTGATACTTGTTCTGCCTGTTGTCATCTCTGCCGGAAGGATGTATACACACCACCATGCTCCCATATTAGCCAATTTAGGCATAGGTCAGGGGATATTTAACTTCCAGATCACCATCTGCGCACTGCTTGGCAAAAAGTCGAGAGATGCATGGTTGTAGTTTTTAGTCTTGCCTTTTCAACAGTTATCTTTTTTTGAGTGAACGTGTTGTATATGACTCTGATTTTATGCATGTTTACCTTTACAGCCTTCACTCTTTGTATTCAACAATGTCCTGTATTTATTTTAATTGGTTATCATGACTGAAGTGCAGTCATAATGCCACGTAATATATGGTTGTTGTTCAAACTAGTTGAGCTATGAGTTGCTCATGTGGGTCTCCTTCAAAGCAGTCTCCGCCCCCACTCATGTGTAGTGAGTCATTTCGGAGACCCTAATAATAGGAGGCACATACTTTTATTATACACTTAAACACTTATGTTCATACACGGTATAACTACAGATGGGTCAGGACAGCCGGCACGCTGCCTGACCCATGACGCCTGACCCACGACGCCGAGGAGACCAAGACGTAGCACGGCGGGTTCCATTCCAAACGACAGCCTCAATCCCGCCTCGGGGACCTCCCTTTTATGCCCCCCAACGTGGCCTGGCTCCGCCCTCGGCCACGCCCCCTTCTGGAAACTACCAGAAGGTTATTGGCTATACCCCACGTGTCCCCTCTGTCACCTTTGCCCTACATCCCTTACCTCGGCCTATCACGTGTCCTGTTGGCCGACCGGGCTGTTACGCCCTCAGATGTTCCTCTCTGCCAGCAACCAGCGCTGCTCACCCTAGTGACCCATTCCATGGCATTGCATGCTCTGCTACACCCACAATTCCCCTCTCTGTCAGTAACCAGCACTATGCGCCGTAGCGACCCATTCTATGTCACTACACAGGCATCACTTCCAGCCGTCGCGTAGCTTCCAGGCTCCGTGCTGGCAGCTCCCAGCCCAAGTCTCTCAGTGGCCTCATCATATTGCTTTCATGTCCTCTGTGTCCTTATGGTGAGCTCCTTTCAAGGATAAGTTTACCTTAGGCAACACCAAGATGGCAATGAATGCTGCTAGTAAGCAGGGTGTGCGAGGGCTGCGATGTTGTAGGGAGCAAAAGAGCATTGCGCACGCTCGTCTGTGCGAGCTGCCATACTGACGTGGAGGAGGCCACGGTGCCTCCCTCTTTGGAGTGCACCGCCTGCGTTTCAGTCGGGGAGAGGATACGCAGTGGTGGGTACCAGGGACCCAACCTTGACTTGGCACAAAGCACATTGCGTTTCTCTTATTTCACCGCACACACTGAGTGGAATGAACCTCACATGTCATTAGCCAATCTGAGATGGTCAATACTTCCCAATTCCTGTTCCTACCTTACTCTAATTATGCAAAATATTCATTTACAGTGACTGACTTTATGCATTTACATAATAAGGCCTTAATACATCTATATATAGAAATTATCAAATCCATTTATTATTAACAATTCGCTACTTTAAAAATGCATGAAGAAAGCAGTAAAAATACAAATAATGTCAGGCGGGGAGAAATACTCAGTTCATTTTGTTTTGCCATTTCAGTTCAAGCACATCATGAAAATGAAGATACGTTTCCAGAACCTGAAGAAATTAAAGGTATTTTTCATGCTTTAGCTGCACTGTTCACTAGCCTTTAAGCCATTTTTATTGCAGTTACGGAACACAGTACCAACAGCCTCTATGTTGTCTAAGGGAAATTGGATAACAATTGTTAATTAGGTATCAGGTTGTTGCAAGTGATTAGAGCTATGACACCTCCAGAAAATATTCTTGATGATATGATGTAGTCTATACTTAGATCATTCTTCAGTCGGCTCTGATAATGTAGCTGCATGACTCTGTGAACTGGCTCAGTGACAAGAACACAGCCCACCAGCCATGCGCTGGACCCACTGGTGTCATCGGACTTCACCAAACAGGCTGCTTCCCAATGGCAATGGCGTGGGGAGGCCTAATAATTAGATTACCACCTTCATCAAGAGCCATAATCTCTACACTGCTGGATGAATAACTCTCCACGCCGTCACCATCCCACATGGTCCCGTGATGCCACAATCTTCCACGCTCCTGCATATGACCTGATACCACTCAATACTCTCAGCAAGGTTATCTCCTTTGGCTGCTGTTCTGTCACCAGTCTCGTCCAGTGTCTATAATTTGTATTTGTTCTCTGATCCACGTGTTCCTGTGTCAGTGTTATTCCAAGCATAATCATTCACATCGTTGCGGATAATATAAGTAGAAAATAGATGAGCAGATAATGTCTCCTTCATATATCTGTTTCCACTTAAAAAATACTTTTTTTCATCTAGTTTTATCTTTGTATTCTTCACACTGCAAATGATTGTGTCAAACTATAGGATCAATTTCTTAAAGAGGGGTTTCTTACCTATAAAATGTAGCAGTTCACAAGCACTGATTGAAGCAAGTCTCACTTTATAGACGAGACACTATGTCAAACCAAGTCCAGCGTTTGCTTTAACTTAATCAGTGCTGTACTCCCAGAATGTCACGTGGCTTATGTGTTGTGTAAGACTTTGTTTAAGTAGAGAGACGGATATGAAGCGTACTGTTTGCTTATCTATTTTGTCTAAGCTAAATGCATTTGAGCAGATTTTTATGTATTTAATGTCCAAAAGATCTACCAAAAAACTATCCTTAGTATGAATGACATGGCAATGCATGTTCCAAATACGTTTAGCCCAGAAAACTGTATGACAAAAGCCACTGATCCAGGTTGACCAAAAGGGACTATTTTTTGCAAACATGCTATCTCCTCAAATACACAGTCTCATTGCTATCAGGAGTGAACATGAAATCAGCATGCGTGGATGTTAAGTGAATGTTTTATTGATGGAATGTGATATATAAATGGCGTAGGGAGGTCTTCATCCAGCAGTGGATTGATCGTGGCTGATAATGACGATATTGAAAGACGTAAGTGCGTATTTCGAATAAGTTATTGTTGGGGACTTTTTAACGGGTTACCGGACAGGAACCCTAATAAAGGGGCAGCTCTTTCACAGGGGCAGTGCCTCATTGTGGGGGGTACCTGCCATGGCTCCAGCATACATTTTTGCTGCCACTGGCCACAGGTAGGTTGGCAAAACATATCTAGTTTAAAAAAATGGTGTTTATTATAAATATATCCTGATATATTTTACTGAATGACACCAGAGCTAAAACAATGCATACCTTCCAAGCCAGCTCAGAACAGATTATCCCGAACAGCTTGTGCAAAGCGTGACCATTTTTGAGTTTCAGACTTCACCAGAACGGTGGTAGACATCTTCTAGTGACCGTGTACGCTTATAGCAGCAGCAGCAGCAGCAACCCGCTCACCCACAGAACAACAAAGCATGAGATACATCAAGGCACCGTGCTGACACCAGCAGTGCACTCTCAACAGAGGTGCTGGCATGAGGGCTGCCCTGCTGTGTTCTGGCAATGAGTTATCAGTCATGACTACAGGGTGTACAGCTGAGCTTCCTAGTGCAAGGGATCATTTGTGTAATTTCACATTTGTAAAATTAACACATTTCATCCCAATTATGTATTTTAATAACTGGAATTCTATGTTTCATTCCAACAAATGGTTAAGTTTTTTAATGGCTTGTACTTCATAATGACTTTCACAGCATTGGCATAATTGTGCATAGCTCATATTACTCATGCTGTACAACAGTTTGACAACCACCAATCTAAAGGAATATGAGCGACCGTATAACCCCATTTCCAAGACAGGCATGGCTAGCGATAGCTGTGCCCATTGGAGAGCATGCCCACATTACCTATTGAGAGCAGTGGAAATACGTAACACGGTATAGGCTATGCTGGAAAGTTATTGCTGCATTGTAGATATATGTAACTGTTTACTTTCCCATGGGTGTGCAAGCGTGGTGCAGTCATACATTGTGCGTTTCACAAATTATTAAGCGTGCATTTACCGCACCGACATTGCATCCTTGACCTACGCCGCGTGCAGTAATGCTGCTGTGTGATGTGGCAGAGGCTCTTCAAGTCATGCATGTGCAGTAACAGCCGTATCTGATTTAAATGTCTACGATCAAGTCACCCTCAATGCACCCAATCTCATCGGATCTCGGACGTTTAACAGGCTTGAGCCTGGTTAGTATTCTGGTGGGAGACTACCTGGAAATATGCCAGATGATGTAGACTTGGGTTGTAAGGTGATTAGGAGATAGCAGTACATCAATAGACAGTTAAATCCATCTGTGCAGAGCTTTAGGCATTACTTCCCTGTATGTATGGGTTATCTGCAGGTATTCTGGTTTCTTCCCAAATGTTAAACAGCCATTAACAGAATTGGCTAAACATCAAATGCAGGACTTTTCTAAAAACGTCTTAATACTCAGCTTTTCCTATGTGCATGGAGGACATTGTAGTTAAATTTCGATTTAAAGCTTTCGTGACTGCAGGGATTCATCTTCTTGGTTCTTTCGGTAAAGTCACGTAGAAGGGAAGTAATAAAATAATAAAAAATAAAACATAATAAAACAATTCTCACGACGTTTCGGCCACAACGCAAGCAGCCGTCCTCAGGTGAAAACCAGGTCCGTCGAGGCGACAGAGTCTGAATGAAAGAGCACACGAGCTTGGAGCATATATATAAGCTGGGCGCATTGACAAAGGAATTTGCATATCAAAAGGAATTTAGCATATTTATGGGAAATGCAGGAATGTGATTAGTACTGCATATGCATGTGCATTATGCAGGATTAACAGCATCAAAGGGAGCTGCAGTTACAGCAGCAGTAACTGCAGCTCCAAGCTCGTGTGCTCTTTCATTCAGACTCTGTCGCCTCGACGGACCTGGTTTTCACCTGAGGACGGCTGCTTGCGTTGTGGCCGAAACGTCGTGAGAATTGTTTTATTATGTTTTATTTTTTATTATTTTATTACTTCCCTTCTACGTGACTTTACCGAAAGAACCAAGAAGACATTGTAGTTATTTGCTGCAAAACAAAACTGCCATCATTTTTATTATAATAGCATTTTGAAGTTATGCAGTGGAAATCAAATGTAAACATTTTGGCTGATACTTCCTGCTCACAACACACATTCGAGTGCACACCATTGTCTCCAACCAGTCTTCAAATGCACGACACGTCTGGATGTGCTGTAATTCATTAACAACAAGTATATCTCCGTTTTTCAGCTCAGAAATGGCATCATGTGTTTAAAGACATTCTCCGCCGAGTGCCAAGACTATTACGACACAGGCAACGCGGCGCACCCTCAAGGACGGGCACAGACGGCGTTATCGGAGGAACGCATACTCAAGAGTGAATGAAACTAATTCTTGTTGACCACGCTTAATAACAATTTGCTCCTATAATGAGCCAAGAATGTGTCCCGCGTGTGACGTCACTCCACATGGACCAGCCCCCCTCATTAATAATCATGAGCAGTTAATGTCACTCCACATCGAACAGCCCCCCTCATTAATAATCATGAGCAGTTAACGTCACTCCACATCGAACAGCCCCCCTCATTAATAATCATGAACAGGTGACGTCCTCCAAATGGACACAACCCCTCCATTAATAATAATTAGCGGGTGACGTCTCTCCATATGGGGGGGCAAGGCACCTCCTCCCCCCTCCTCAGCGTTAACTTACAACCCTCACTCCAAAGGCAGAACCCTCACGTCACGCAATCTCCATAACGCTGTTGAGACATAGAAGTAAAAAGGGCGTCATGATGAACAAGGATTTATAACCTTTAAATGAAATAATTCTGTGTCACCGCGGCCGTACAAAATACACACGAATTTATGGAATGAATATCACGTCGCGGTCTGCTTTTCACTTGCAAGTTCCAGATTTACTGCAATACACCCGTCCTTTGACGGGCAAAAGGCTAGTTAATATTAATCACTTAACAGCCATTGCTTAATATTAATTACTTAAGCATTGCTATGTAGCTTTATTTGCACAATTCTCTCAGTTTTTAAACTAAACTTGTATTTACCAGGTAAAGCCCGCGGAGCTATTGCCTTCTTTTCAGAGTTGATCTAGCCACGCATCGTAGGAGCCACAATCTCAATGCACGTTTCTAAATATGAAGGGCCATACCGTAGTCCTCATATAATTATCCACATGACCGCAGGGACTACATACAATTTCTGTCAGGATCAGGATCGAATCCATGCGCTCCTGCATACCAGCCGAGGGAAATAACATCACCACCGCGTGATTGTGCTTTCATTTGAATGAAGCCACTTATGTAATAGATATTCCAATATATTATGACACATGCAGATGTTACATGTAAATGTCCATTCAATGTGTATGCAAATACAATAAAACATGATTAATCTGGGGTGATATGGTGGACGGGTTTCGCCCATCCTAGAATCTGTGGTGTACTGTGGGAATAACTTATACGGTTCCCAAACCTATACAACTCCAAAAATCCGTGAAAATTTAACGGATGTTAGTCATGTTTAGTCACCTGGCGAAAAACTCCAAAATCCGTGTATATTTAATTTTAGGAGTTACTGAACAACAATTAATGCCACATTGCAGCGTGAGCTCACAGCATGTGCTGCAGCTGGCGGGTGCTTGTAAGCCATGCAGCGAGACTGTGTGATGCCGCCGCCGCGAAGCCGCTCGGCGGGCGCCCCATCTACGACCTCGCCACCACCAAGCGACAGGGCCGACCCCGCTTACCCCTCACCGCCCCCCACATAAACACACCCTCACACATTTCCCCCCCCCATAGAGCTCCGAGGGGAAGTCACCTGGCCGGCAGGTTTTCACCCGAAAGCCCTCGAAGGGATAATCTTCACGGTTTCCTGCGGCCAGGGAATTGGGTGACCTCCCCCGATGCTAATTCGCACCGCGGCGCTGTGACCTGGGTTGAGATTGCATGGTCACGGCGGAGGGCTGTCCAGCCACCACGGTTGAAACGCACCCCCACACACGTATCGGCAAGGCAGGCAGGGGTCCACAGCCACGAACGAAGTGGAAGCCAAGGGGGGTGGCTGATTGGCGTGGCAGGTGTGCGCGGCGACTGCCGCCGTGCAGCAGACCGCGGCGAGCCTGTGTTGCGGAAACCGCATTCGATTAGCATAGCAAAGGTGCCCGTGGACCACCGCCGGCGCCGCAATCGGCGGGGGACCCATTGTTAGGGAAACTGGGAATGCGGCTGAACGGACGCGGCAACCTGATTGGCCGAGAGGGTCCTCGGGTCGGAGTTCTTTGATGTAGGTTAAGGATAAAGGGAGGGCACAGAGGGGTAAAGCGTTCTCTTGCTCCAAAAGTCAGCCCTCGGGACGGTCTCCAGCTCGGCCACTCAAACGTCCGTGTGACGCGTCGAGGTGAGCGGCGAGGACGAGACCAACGGAGCGCCGTGCGCATCTAACCATGAGTAAGAGGTAAAAGAGTATTGGGATTGAGGCTAGAAAAACCAAACCTGCTGAGAGCCTATCAAATTAGATAAATCGGGTACAGACCCTTGGGCGATAGTATAGGCCTGCCTTGCCGATCTCTACTGACCCAACAGTGAATCCCAGTCGGCCGAGAATAAATCATTAATAACCCACCGCAGCCTCGTGTGGTTTGGACGAGCGGGTGAAAGCGCGTGGTGCTGTGTGTGTGTGTGCGCTCGTAATGGGGGTTTTCGGTGTTTCCAAGGTTGTACGCTCCGTTCTGTCACCGTGGAGACTTGTGCTGTGTGAGGGCTCACATCCACCGTAAATACCTGTTCCACGGCCCCTTTAAACGAGCGTTATCACCCGCTCGCGGCGGCCGCGCGTGCGAGCAACGTCATTCGCCCTCCGACCCCTGACCCCCCGTTCAGAGCGTGTGATTGCTGCACGGGGCTGTGTGAGGGGAGGCGTCGCGTTTGATTGGCGGAGAGGCAACGCAGTGTTTACAGGCGTATGGGAGCCGGCGACGAGCCATGCCTCTCTCGTGAACCCGCGGAGGTGCGACCCAGGGAGGGGAACCGTCGGGCGACAGCCCTTACTCCGCGAGCGATGAGCCCAGCGGCGGCAGCAGCTGTTCGCATAACAGCGAAGGGTCGGGAAACAGCGGGACCCCTGCAGTCGGCGCGCAGCAGGGAGAGACCTCGGGGGCCAGCGGCCTCAACAATCTCCTCGAGCTCTGCACTGAAATCTCCGCCAGGTTGGGGTCCCGCTGCTTGACCCCTCCCCTCACCCAGCGCCAGCAGCAGCCCCAGCACGAGGGAGCGGCCCCCAGCGCGAGGGAGCGGCCCCCAGCTCACACAGCCGCTAGGACTGCGGCACCGTCTCCTACCTAGCGGTGCCATTACCCCTGCAGTAGCACCGCGCGTGAACTTCCTCACGCTCCGACGCGTTTGATCGGCAATGTAGAGTTGTAGCACCGTGAGGAAGTGATGCTGCTCAATCTCGGACGCCCTTTCTGTGAATCAACATTGGCGATGAGTCACAACGGGACATTGTGTACCTATGTACAGATGTGTGGGTACAGATACACAGTGAAGCTGCATGATCTCCCTTATCTACCTGCATACAGGTGTGTGTGTGTGAGTACAAACACACTGTAGCTTTATGATCTTCCTCATGTACCTGTGTACAGGTGCGTAGCCATAGCGTGTAATATCTAACCCTGGTCTGCCCTCCATCATTCCTTAAACAACCCACGTTGACCAGCGAGGTGAAGTACAGTATAGTCAAACAACCCCCATGATCAACATGGACTGGAGATGCCTTCTGTGGTGTCATGCTAAATTGTGTAGTTTGTGAGAAAGAAGCCACAGTCGTGTTCCACGCGTGTTATACAATTCACTGCTTGATGAAGGCCTCCCATATGCCATGTTGTCATTGGGATTTTGACTATACTTCATTGCACTGGTCAGTGTGGGTTGTGAAGGAGACTCAACTCATCTATATTATTCAACAGGTAATTTAAACTGAGCTAGGAGCTTGTTTATATAGGTAGGAACATCAGGTTCCACACTGCCCACCAGGGATTATTTGTCTGTCTGTCGTGCATATTTGTCTGTCGTGCACGAATGCGCTGTCCAACCAAGTTCCTACCTGCCCACTCCGAAGGAACGTGTTAGAGGCGACCACCTTACACATGATAGCTCATCGAAGTGGTTTAAAACCCTTTATAGCAATCTATAGCTGCCAAATAATGTACACGTGTTTCAAAATAATGTACACACGTTTCAAAATAATGTACATGCGTGTTTCTACATAATGTACACATGTGGTTCTACATAATGTACACGAGTGTTTCTACATAATGTACATGTTTCCAAATAATGTATACCCGTATATTCTAAATAATGTACACGTGTTTCCAAATAATGTACACGTGTGTTTCTACATAATGTACACGTGTCTAAATAATGTACACGTGTGTTTCGACATAATGTACACGTGTTTCTACATAATGTACACGCGTGTTTCGACAATGTACCCGTGTTTCTACATAATGTACATGTGTTTCCAAATAATGTATACCCGTATATTTTAAACAATGAACACGTGTGTTTCTAAATAATGTATGTTTGTCTCTGCATAATGTACACGTGTGTTTCTACATAATATACACGTGTTTCTTCTTAATGTGCATGAGTGTTTCTATATGTCACGTGTTTCTACTGAATCTACATGCGTGTTTCTACATAATGTACACGTATTTCTACATACTGTACATACGTGTTTCTCTATAATGTACACGTGTTTCTACATAAGGTACACGTGTTTCTAAATAATGTATAGCCGGATTTTTAAAATAATGTACACGAGTGTTTATAAATAATGTACATGCGTGTTTCTAAATGCGGAGGGTAAAATCGGAGGACCAGGAGGACATTCCATGCGACCACCACGAGAACAGATCAATATTGGGCAATTAGAGAAAGCCATTGACTTAAGAGAAGTGGACTTGTGCAGGACACGTTACTGGAGGGGATTATGGCCAGTGGATGAGACTAATGATGGCATGGCAGCTAAATGACGCCTGAGAAGATGTCCACCGTGACCACAGAGCAATGAATTGGGTCATGTACGGGACCTGTATAGATTGTGGCATCACAAGAGCATGACTTATGGTGACGGATTGGGGAGGTGTGTATGTTGCAGGGGATAGGTCATGGCTGATGGTGCATCTTGATACAACAATCCTTGAGCTTGGAGAGAGTCCCACACAGCACGACGTGGGTGTTGTACTCCTGCCGGTAGCGCTGTCTCCTGCCAGGTTTGCCACTCCGTCAGCGTGCTGCACCATCGCTTGGTCGCGGTAGAGGAGCCAGGCTAACTCTGTACGCGTTCGTGTATTATGGATAAATAATTGTGCACGCATCACAAGTCAGGGCAGCAGTCGTAATTTCGCAAGCCGTCAGTCATGCGACTGCGAAGGGCCATGCTGCCACCTGTGTGTTGCCATCAACAGCTGAACGCGTCGTCAACATCATGATCCAAAGAGATGTCCCGGCATTGTGGGATGAGGGCTCCAGTATGGGAGCCCGCAGCAGGGATTGGCAACAAGTACCGCAATAGAAATTATGTGAACCTTGCCGCTGGTTTAAATGCCTCAGCAGGTCCTCAATCACTGCAGACAATGTCCTTTGAAACAACACTCACAGATGTTACTGGGCAAAGGCCCGGACTTGCCCCGTCTACTGTGTTCAAGCCCTTTTAACTGTCCACTTCTGGATGAGGGCCTTCCCATGCTGTGCGAATAGTGGAGTTATTCGACCATACCTCACCATGCTGGTTAATGCGGTTTCCTAAGCAACATTTATCGAAAATAATAGCAGTTATTCAAGTTAAAAAGTGAATTGGACACCTCGGTGAGTGTGGGTGGGGTGAGGGTGGGGTGAGGGTGGGGGGTGTAGATGTGGGGAACGAGAGCACGCCTCACCTTGGTGAGTGTGGGTGGGGTGAGGGTGGGAAGTGCAAACGTGTGGCGATAGAAGTACTGTACAACAGGGGATATTGTTACTTTTGTAGTGTCGTGACTACAGCCTCTACTGTGAGTGTAGACAGTTAAATGTCTCTATGGGTCGCGCCAGCTGCAGTGCTGGAGAGGCACCGGGTGCCCCAATTGGACGCGCTAAGGGCACGTGACCGGGAGAGGGCCTCGATTGGATGAGCTAAGGGCATTAGACCGGAAGTGGTGCCCGATTGGACGAGTTAAGGACACGTGGCCAAAAGCAGTGCCTCGATTGGACGAGCTAAGGGCACGTGACCGGAAATGAGACTCGCTTGGAGGAGTTGAGGCCACGTGACCAGAAGTGGGCCTCGATTGGAGGAGTCAAGAGCCACGTGACCTGAAGCGGTGCCTCGATTGGAGAAGTTAAGGACACGTGACAGGAAGCGGGGAGCGCCGGCTTGATACAGCAAAGGGAGGGGCGGGGGCAAAGCGATAAATGGCCGTCCATAAATGACGTTACGCACCTAGGGGAGGGGGGTCAGACATTTGTGACGATGTGCGACGAGGGGGGGTTTGATAAATGTGACGTCACATCAAAATGCGCAACTTTAAATAAACAGAATTGTTATAACACTAATTTTGATTAATTTTCATTATTAACTATTTGATTATTTAAATTTGCTAAGGTCACCTTTTATTTATTCCATGAAGGAGCATTTTGCTTCTCCATAGGAGAATGGAGAAGCATACATTTTCAACATTTTTTTAAATGATTGTTAGTCAACATATTGATTCTAATGATTCTACCAGGGCTTTTCATTCTGTGGAATGAATATATGATTGTTATAATTGTACTCTCCACTTTGCTTCGTTCTACTTCAAAGTTTCAAGTTTTTTTTACAGTTATAATTCATTTTAATATTTTGTAATTATAAGATAATTTCAACATAATATTCTGAACATCTGCAGTTTTAGTTAGTCGTTGAATATTTTCAAGTGAATTTTATGCTAAATTTAATCTTCCAAACGCCTAATTTTTAATGTGTTTTCTCCTACTACATCAGAGTGCAGCGCCACATTAAATTAGCACTACAATGACAATAGTTTAAAGCGATTTGAAGCATGTTTTATTTTCAAAATGGAAATATGGTTTTGGGGGAGGCAGAGCTTTGTGACGTCATATTTGAAGGGGGTCTGACTTTTTGTGAAGCAGTGTGACGAGGGGGGGGTCAAAAATCGTTCAATATCGCGTGACGTCATTTATGGACGGCCCCTAAAGGGGGAGCGATTTGGGGTTCGTGTCGGGGATCACGAGTTAACATGCACGCACATAGTGAGCAGCCTGACAAGTTAGCACCACTTAGCAACAGAATCCGGTGTACATTGAATTGTTTAATAAACGCATTGCCTCCTACAACGGTGTGTGTGCGCCTCAGTCGACATACACTACACTATGACCTCTTATGATCAAAGTGGCCTCGCTGCCTATAACACCTGTCATGACGCGGACTGTACGTGGAGTACATACTTTTAGTACCAGTAGACACTGACTCAAAATCGACAACGAAGTCGAGGGACACCGGATCAACATTGAGACTCAATAGTTGTTGGGAGTCTCTCGACGAGGGTTCGAGGGAGCCCCACGGCTTCTGAGAAGCACAAAGCA